CCAGTGCCTGCGAGGGAGCGATGCTGCTTCGAGTTTGGTGAGAGCTGCGTAGATCGACGTCTCTGTCAGTGCCTGCGTGCAAGCGAAGTGTCCGACCAGCACCCACACACCCTCCCACCACTCCAGTCAACTATCTGCCCCGCCCTCCAAACCATGCAAGTGGGTAATGCGGATAGGAGCTGAGTGAACGGCTCACACGCATGTTACTGTCATGTTCGTACATATACGCGCATGGACGCAGGCATGCACGCAGGTAAGCATCTACGCAAACTGGCGGGTTATCGTCTCCGATATCAAAGCCACGAGTGTCACTTCAGTGAGGCTGAAAGCGTCTTCTGTGCCTGGATTCGTTGCATATCTGGCATGCGTTGTCAAAAGGCCACGGTCTTGCTGACCCCAACAACGCCACACTCGCCCATTCCGTGGCTCTGACACAACACCCACTGGACGGGAGCAGCAGGCCCCTTGCAGTAGAGACGGTGCAATTGCCTATCCCGGTACTTGCGCCATCGCTGACGGCGGGACCAGATTCCAAGCTTGTCGATATTAGTCCCTCATGGATGTCCTCTTAGTGCACACCTCACCGATATTTCCAAGGCCATCTGCCCTACTGACAAACTTCGCTGCCCACCACTAGCCGCTCTCTTGTACCTTGCATGTTGCCTCAAGCCAAGCCAGCCTGCTCGCTATAACCCGCAATACTCCTCTCTCTCGGTGTGCCGCTTAGCAAGACCGTTCTTTGTCTTGCCTTGTTTCGTCCCGCTAGTTGCGTGCCATCTTGCCACGGCGCTGTGGAGCGAGGGTACACGCATGACCTTGGTCTCCGCCCGTCTTAACCCCTCCACCTGTCCCGCACTACTTTATCCCTATCGCCCTTCCGGGTTCATATCAAACAGAAGTGGACTCTTTCGTCTACCGCTGTCGTTTCGTCGACCGCCCCCATCAACAATTGCATCCGCGTCAACCGCAGCCAGCATGATCATCATCCGATAGACGTCACTCCTTCACATATTCAACAAGGCTTCTCATTCACGACACCCCTACTGACTGTCTACACTTCCACATCAACACCGCCATCATGGAGCAGGAAACCAAAATCTACATCATCATTGGTGCAGTCGCAGGCTCGCTCGTCGTGTGTGCCCTTACCCTTGCCATTCTTTTTGTGTGGACAAGATCCCGCAGGAGGATGCGAGGCTTCTCATTACGAGCAGTCACACCACTGGACGACGCTGAATTCGAATCATGGCGACGACCCAGCCAATACAACCAACGCCTGGACGAGTATGGCATTCGGCCATCAAACAAAGTTGTCTTGCGAGACCGTGTATCTCCCAGGACCCCATCTTTCTTCGAGAAGGAGCTCAGCACATATGACTTTCCCCCAAGGACACCATCATTGACAGACGCTGTCTCAATCAAATCACCCACAAGCTCAATACAGAAACCGGAGCGAGCACGAAGAAAGTCCAGTGTTGCTTCGTCACTCGCTGATCGACCACCAACCCCATACTCTCCTTGTTCACCCACTGGAGAATTCAACCGTGGATCGGTATCTTCCCGTCGATCACAGCCTCTGATACATTACCCTTCTGTATCCGAAGCCTCTGCATTTCGCTTCAACTTCGAGGCTGAGCAGAAACGCAATGGAAACTGGATATAATTTCCACTTCTCAACTCTCGAATACTTCTTGTAATCATCTCTACCAATCTTTCGTCACGACCGGCCTTTACGACCGGCCGTCTGCATAAGCTGTTGTCGTTCCAGTACAACCCCAACTGGGTAGTACATTGGTTCGACAGCCGTATGCGTTACCATGCACTGTGTTCCGCTACACAACCTTGGAGACTGGCACCAAACCGGACACAATGCCATTTACCTTCGCGACATTCACTTCGCATAGATATTTTACGACCACATATGATTTTTTACCTTTGGAGTTTGGCGGCGCTTTGTGACTATGATACCAGACCTTTGCGTCATCTACATAGGCCTAGGGCCTCTTTTTCTTTTGTTCGAGGATAGTTTCGCCGGCCATTGCCGAAGCACGCACTTGGCGTGGAAGGGAGGATAGCGTTGTAGGATAGGCAAACATGTATCTGAGTATCAGGTATACAGCTGGTTGTACAGCGAGAGACTAATTTCTCTCAACATCAGATAGGAATAACAATTCACACACACACACACACACACATTTACCACCATGGCCTTCTCTCACAACTCTCATCATTCGATTGCGTGATACTACTACTTACTCCCACTACCCCCTTCTCTTCGAATACCCACCAGACGGACGAGCATCTCGGCTCCACCCGCGTCAACAAGGAACCCACAACAAGCAACCCGTCTCAAAAAGATACCCCTTGGCTCCAAAGTGACGCCACCCCGTGTTGCGTGCCGATTCCAACCCACAATTTCCGTCCCTTCTACACACCGCCAGTTTGCCACAATCGTCCCTCCTTACCTTCTTCCGGCAACCCATGCACCAGGAACTTCCCTGAACAAACCCGTCCAACCATTCACGTCCCTTTGCTCCCCCCCCCACTTTTTTCTTCTGCAAACATCCACATCTAGAATGTTTTTTTCCTTTCATTCGCTTCTTCACTCCCTTTTCTTTCCATCCTTCTCCGCAAGCTAAAAGAACCTACCTTGCCTAATTTAATTGGGGAATGGGTAAGGGCCAAGACAATGGGGATGTCATTAACAAGAAAACAAGTAGATCCGGTCTTCGGCCCGCGACTTGCAGCCGCGAATCGGCAGTTTTATTTCTTCTTTTATTTCTTGGAATTTAAGATTAAAATCTCAGAATTTGGCATGTGGAAAATATGACGATGGTACGAGGTGGGGAATTTTTTTTCTTTTGGGCGGGTAGAAAGTGGAGTGTGGATTGAGGATGCGGGATGTACATGTTCCGGAGGAGGACTAGGTTATGTACATAAATTGGTGTGCATAGTAGTGTATGTACACACACGGATGACTGAAGCCGGTGGTCGAGGTACATGGGATTTTCTCTTGGTGCGAGTGGGGGTCTCGGGTAGATCAGGTCTCATCTTTTTTTTTCTCCTATCGTATGTTCCTTTTTTCCATGACTTCTTCCGTACTACTTACCCTTTGGCCAAGGGTTATCTGTACACGACTTTTCTTTTGGCCAGACAGGGGTGTGGGGTGATTAGGCTGCTTGCCGTTTTGGCCTTATCTGTCGCGTTGTGCATAACGTTTTTCCGCAACGCCAAAAAAACGGCTGCGTTGAAGCGCAGCAATATGACGTGCAGCTGTATCTCAATCACTTGCGTGTTGCGTGGGTCGCGGCTTCTTTGAGTAAAGGGCGGAGGTAACAAAGTTGCTTGTTGAGGAGTGGGATCAATGCACGTGAAAAAAGGGTTCGAGACTAGGCCGGACGTGGAAGAGAAACAACGTGGACAGTTTGTCACCGCCGCGAAACACATGCGAAAGGGGAATATTCTCGACGGTTTTTGAAACTTGATGTTTTTGTTTTGCATGCAGCCCTATTGAAACCCCTGGATTTCTGACGTTTCCGCGGTCGTAACTAGCAGGTAGCTTTGTTTGTTTTCCAGAAGGGTAGAAAGGATCGCTGTGTTCCAACACTTCCCTTTCACAACTTACTTACTCCACTTGCGCTTTTGCGATCCCCCGCAAAACAACAAACACACAACGCGTCTCTCCCATCGCGTCCCGCACACGACTCGCCACTTTACCTTGTAAGAGAGCAAAAAAAAAGAAGCGCAAACAGCCTAATATGGATTTCGTACAAGGTAAGTTTACAATCACCACTTTAATCAGCGCATATACTCGCGCGCACGCTCTCTTGCGCCACAGGAACATGCATATCTAACAGCAACCAAACAGACTACGCCGCTCTTCTCCCCCGCCTCCTTCCTCCCTCCTTCGCCGACCCCGCACTCCACATCATAACCACCTTCCTGGGCTTCTCTCGCACCCTCTCCACGCACCTCTCGCCCCTCCTCAACAAACTCATCACACAACCCGATGTCGCCTCTATTGTGGCCCTCCTCTTCATCTTCTTCATCTCGCTCAAGATCCTCGACATGATGTACCGCGCCGTCGTCTTTTGGATCAATCTCGCATTCCGCCTCGCCTTCTGGGGCGGCATCCTGATCGTGGGCTTGTGGGTGTGGAATCGCGGACCAGAAGGGTTCGTGGATGATGTGAGTGGGTTGATCGAGTACTGGATGGGCGAGTACGAGAGGTATAGTGGGGAGGTCAAGATGTTTCAGCAGCAGAAAGAGGATCAGATTAGGTTTAAGGCGGGACAGCAGCAGAAGAGGAAGGGATGGCGGTAAGATGGGGGGTTGTAGGGAGATATTAAGGTGTTGGCATGTTGTATGTGGGTTTTGTTTGGAATACCATTGGGTTGGGTTTCGTGGATAAGAGATTCATGTGTTATTTGGCGCAAGGATTGGGCTTGGTTATGTGCTTGTTATGGCGCAGGAGATGCCTGTGCAAAAAGTATGGTCATGGTGATGAGGCGGATATCAGGGTACTGTGGCATATGGCTGCCTGGATGTGTCTTTTGGGACACGGTGACGGCTTTTGTGCAAGACTTGGGTCAACGAATAATGATATTGATGCAGTATTTTTTTTGGTATTGTACTGGTTTTTGACTGATTGAGGAATAGACATAGTAACCTCTCCAATCACAGTATTCTGCTGAACAATAAGAGATGACTCGTTACCACTGTGAAAGTTTCAATGGTGAGCGATGTTTTGATATTCATTCGTTAGAGCTTGAATATGAAAGCGCTAGTCACTGCGGTTGAGGGAGATGGTCATAGGGTGTGTTGGTAAGGCTAACAAACTTGTTTCCAGCTCACTCTCACTCTCACTCTCACATCAGTTGTGCAAACAAGATTCTTCTGCACATAGTCACTATATATTCGTCTGCCTCGAGCGCTCTATCCTCTTTACCCTCTTCTTCGACAAACCACCTCAATCAATCCGTGCAAACGTTTCGGACAATATGCAAGCAGACAAAGTGAACGAATGCGATACCGAGAAGAAGATGGAGTCGTTTACACCGTACATGCCGCCAGAGGTACTGCAGATGGTATTTCATGAGCTGGATTTCTTCGATCGTAAGTCGCTTGTGTGGAGTGCTATTGCTTGTACTATTCGGTCAAATGTCGAGAAGTGCCATGCATGTATGCTGACTTTGGATCTAGTCCTACGTTGCCAGCAAGTCTGCAAGACCTGGCGTGCATACCTTCCAGGCAACGACCCGAAGCTTCGTGACAAGCTGTTCGTCAACCGTAACAGGACCCAGGATTCCCAGGGTGGTGGCAACGACAAGAAGAATAGTAAAATCCATGAACTCCACCGTGATTTGCTTCTGGGTTTCAATCTTGGGGTCAAAGAGTGTGTAGAAGGACTTGGAAGTTACACGATCATACCCCCGACCGTGATCTTTCCGGTGTATGCCCCCTTCTGGCTCCGTATAAACGACGTTTCAGCAGCTATTATAGTCCATCCTATGGTCGAGAAGCTGCACAAATACTTTGACATCATTTTCGGCTCCTCGTTTGAAGTTGGCGATGATAGACAGCAGCGGCACCACAAATATTACACACGAAATGACCTGACGGCTGCGATTGAAGCATCCAAGAAGACAGCCAAAGACAAAAATGAGTCATGGAAGGACATGCTAGTGTGTGTTCCGCCTCTTTCGGAGATCAGAATTGGACTCAGATTTGGAATCAGATTTGAAGTATACATGAACAATACTGAAGGCTTTTCCAACGGCGCCACTCCACCCTCTTTCGGCGACCTCACTGAAAGCTATATGCACCACTGCAGGATCTATGCTGAGAATAGAGGTGGCGTGACCATAGGTCAGGTCATTGATGTCATCCACAAACACCTAGACATTTGGGTAACAGACTGACGCCCCTCCTACCATTTGGGTGTGATATCTACATACTGGGTTTGTCGAACACGATTGCGTAGAGGGAGTGCTGGAGGAGCTCTACGAGAGGACTGGGTTACCTAGCTCTGGGCTACGATTAGTCCATCGTTCTGAGGACGTGGATAAGTATGGATATGTACGGTAAAATGGATGGAGGGATGGCGAGAAGTTGAAGAATAAGAATAAGAATAGCAGCTTGACAACCCCGTATCTGTGGATTCCTTTAGCTGTAATTGAAGAATGTCACAAATGAACAAAACCCAAAGCTTTCCATAAACACTCAATACTTAACATGAGTGTGTGCAAAAGACGTCGAAGCTCAAGAGAAGAGCTACCCTGTCCCCCGCAGCCAAGTGAGCCAATGACGTCGCAAAGCCCCCGCAAACCTCCACCAGCACCTCCGCTACGTCGCGTCCCCCAACCAAACATCCACAACCGCAACCGCAACCGCAGTCACACCTACACCAACACACCTCAAATCCCGCAGCCATGGCAACCACATCCTCCTACCCACCGCCCGTACCCAACCCCGCGTCTACCTCCACAGCCTCAACCACAACCTTTACCTTCCCACCCCACTACTCCTTCCCCCCCTTCTTCACCCTCCAACCCGTCGCCAGCACCCGCAGTTCGCAACTCGCCTCATGGTCGACACTGATCCAATCCTACTGCCGACACAACCGCATCTTCACCCTCTCCCTCATTGACGCGCTGCCGACCCCGCTCTTCACAAACGCCACTCTCCGCCGCAGCCTCTCGCTCCGCGACGCAAAAGCAATCCTCACATACATGGCGTCTCCCGAAGGTGGGAATCGCGCGGAATTCATAAGCACGGGCAGTGCGAAGAAGAGCGCGAAGGCAGAGGAAGGGGAAGGGGGTAAAGTGTGGGTGTACTGGCGTAGGCCGGAGGAGTGGGCGACGGCGATTGAGGAGTGGGTGGAGAGGACGGGGCAGAAGGGGACAGTGCTGACGCTTTATGAGATTGTGGAGGGGGATGCGGTGGGGAAGGAGGAGTTTGCGGGTATGGACATGGAGTTGTTGCAGAAGAGTCTGGGGGTTTGTGTTAAGAGGGGGAAGGCGCAGGTGTTTGGGAGTGGGGGGGAGGGAGAGGGTGTGAAGTTTTTCTAGGTGACAGATTGGGATAGGAGGATAGAGTGTGGAATGATACCCAAATGAATAGACTTGTATATTGTGTTTGGAGAGGATTCTTTTGTTGGATGAGTGGGTAAATGGTTTTGCAGATTGGGAATCTTGATCATCACCGTAAATCGAATGATTGTTTTTTGTTTCCAGCAATCAAAACAACCATATGAATTCCATATTCAAAAAAAAATACACCTTCTAAATCAATCACCCTGCAGACGATGTCTACTCTGAAACCTTCGACACGGCATGAATCTACCAAGCGGCACAAACACAGTTTGTATATTGGCAACCCAAAAAAAAAGAAGCCACCTATCGAGATACCAATGCACCGGCATACTTTACTTACGCCGGAGAATAAAGACAACATTACCGAGGCATCCCTGCATCGAGATTCTTACCCAAAACAGGCTATTGGATAGGCGTCAACTCTAACAAAGGCGGACAAGAGGGCCTTAAAGGTAGTAGTGTATGCCAAGACTTGGCTGTAAGAGAGCATGATGATCTAGTGAGACGGTAGTGTGCGGGGAAAGCATGATAGGACAGAGATAGAGGATTGAGGAGAACCGTTTTCTTCTTCTTTTCCGTGAATGAGAGACGAAGGTTGGATTCTAGAGGTGGAAATTTGTAGGTCGCATTGATGGTGCATCTCAACTTGGCGCGGTCAAACAGACAATGTCGGAAGATACGCAGAACGACGCAAAGAGAGAAAGAGAGAGCATGTGGTTTGTTGCTCAGCAATGACAAAGCAGAGGGCTGTGTAGGTTAGTCTAGACTTTTGCTGGGATTGTGGTGCTCGGGAATGTAGATCTCTGGCGGATGGATAAGGCCGGAGGATATACTATTCGATCGGCTACTTCAGACAGAGTAGGTTCGGCTTGGCGGTTCGAAAAAGCGGAAGATGGGAGCGGCTGTGTTTATCCTTCTTGAAGCTAGACTAGCACCTTCACGATTTGTCTTGGAGATGGGGGTCTGCGACACTTTGTACGACAGAAGTGACACTGATCTGTGGTGTTGCTTTGGCCAATGATTGGAAGGCCGTGACATGGCTGTGCGATGATCGTGTTGCTGCTGGCAAGTGCACCGTGTACAGTTACACTTTTATGACGTAGATACACCGGTACTTGAGCGTGGGATACGTAAGTTTAGACTGTGGACCAGAGAGCAAAAAAAAAGAAGATCGCCGCAACAAACAGTGGCATGGGAGCGGGCCGTCGGCTAGTGGGAGGTAGAAGCGCACGGGTCACGGGGTTAGCGCAACCTTGTGAGTGTGTGGTTGTTGACTGTTGCAAGGACCGGGCTGGTTGGCTGGATGGCTATGATAAGGCATTGTGTGTGCGATGGGGGCGACATGGGTAATGACAAGGAACAAAGGGAGAGGGCGAATAGAGAAGATGAAGGTTCGGCAGTTGCATAAGATGCCGTATCCAAGTACCAGGGCAGGTGGTGTACCTAGACGAGGGACAGGCTCCACTGGGTGGTAGTGGCAGGCAGTGAGTGCGGGGAGCGCTTTAAAGCCAAGCAGCAATGGCTCGACAGTAGATGCTCCGGCAGCGAGGGAGCGATACGAGGCAGGCAGTTTTGGGTAGCGGTTGCGTCGACCAAAAAGGCGGCTGACGGCTGTTAGCTAGCACGAGTACCAGTACTTGGTTAGCATTAGCGCCATGTCGGGTAGAGCGGAGACGCAGATTACTGCAGGACAACGCACGAGGGACAACAGTGCATGTCTGCAGGGACGCGTGCAAGAATCGTCGGTCAGGACCCTGGGACAGCAGGGCGGGCGAAATGAGGCATACAGGCGCAGTTATAAGAAGAGGTGTCAGTGAGTATATAAGTAACTTCGTTCTTATAGGCGCCTCAGAAAAGGCAGGCTATTTGTGGAGATGGGTAGATGGAGGATGAGACAGAAAAGCAGATTCGGGATAATTTTAGGCCAGGAACCTCATTTCCCGGTCCAGGGGCGGGCCAATCAGCGCCGGGCACGCGCGCTCAGTCCAGGCCGTATCCGTCGCAGGTCGCGCGTGTCGCAGCTTCCCCCAGTCGGTCGTGGTCGTGGTCGTGCCTTCCTTCTTCTCCCACGACTACGTGTGCGGCCCTCGCAGCTTCCCTACCCACTACGCTCTTTTTTGCATGTTGCGAGCCCGGCCGCCCTGTCCCTTCTGCTAGGCCGCTCCACTGTCAATATACATCGCGCCGTCGCTGTTTCCCCCCACTCCCCCCCGATCCCTCTGCTCTGCTCTGCTCTGCTCTGCTTTGCCTTCACCGCCGCCGCCGCTCCTCCAGGTACTGTCGCCAAACAATCCACTAAACCTCCCGCTCAAGCAATCCACGGCCCCCAACCTCCATGCCGCGCATGGCCTAGTCACCTGCGCGTCTCCACGTCGATACTTTTGTTCTGCTCCGGTCCCGCTTCTGCAGCCTTGACTCCCACGGCACAGACAGTCTCCACGCCCACGCCCACTGTTCTTCCTTCTCAGCATGAACCCATGCCTGCCCTGCCATGATGCGAGCCATCCGCCTGCTGCACGCCGCCAAAAGCAACCACGCATAGGCACAAAAGCCCCCGCTGCCGCCCTCCTCGCCCTCCTTGCCGCCTCGCTGCCCTCGACAATGGCTCAAAGCTGCGTCTCGCTCGCAGGCTCAACTACCTGCCCGGCCTTTGCCTCGGCCTCGATCAACACCAATCTGACCGGCAACTTGTACGTCCAGCAATTGTGCACACTGTCCAACCAGAAGCAATACTAATGTCAGCCAGTCCCTTCCTCAAGTTTGTGTCAAACACGCAGTCTTTCGACGAAGGCCTGAGAAACTACATAGCGACCGGTTACGCCCAGCGACAGTCAGTTTGGCCCTACAATGAATGGCTTCTACTGCGCGACATGACTAACATTGCCTACCAGATACGAGGACATTCTTGGTTGTTCAAGCGTCAATCTCACTAGCACCACCAATCTCTATGCTCGCTTTACAACAACAGTCTTGTGCAATGCCATTGTCCAGTCTTCGAAGCAATCGTGTGGCCTCAGTGACCAAGCCGCGACTCCGCTATGTGCTGATGCTTGCGTATGTAGATTGAACTGCCCAACTGCACCACCATACTGACCATGTTTAGGCCGACTTTGCCATTAGCGAACAGGTGATCGTATCAAGTCCAGAGCTCTGTGGTACCCCTGGCAACAACGCAGTGCCCCAGATCCGTTCAGACTTTGCCCGTTGCTCCAACCCTGCAGACGCTCTTAGCACCAGTTGCATTGAAGCCGTAAAGAACGAGCCCGCAGAATGTGGTTTCCAGAACAACCTTGAAGGACTATGCCTGTTTTGCGCCGGAAGCACTGCCAACTCGACCGATACCTGCTGTGTCAATGCCAATGTCGAAGCCCGCTGCCAAAATGTCGATCTTCCCACCACCATTTCCATGCCTCCTGTCTTCCCAACTAGCACCTCGTCTGCTTCACCAACCTCCACGGCTGGTGGAGCATCCGGCGGACAAAACTCGAAACAGGGACTCTCGGGAGGTGCTATTGCTGGCATCGTTATTGGATCTCTTATCGGTGCCGCCCTAGTAATTGCCGCTGTCATCTTCTGTTGCATGCAGAGGCGCAGACAAAAGTATAGCCAGGCCGGTAGCGTTTTCAACACTCCCTCGCCATCGCGACACCACTCTTCCAAGGGCAACCCCGTGCCTCCCATGGCCTTTGGTGGTGACGCCAATCACTCGGCTACCATTCTGCCAGGCGCTCGTGTCCAACGCATGTCGGCCTTGGAGGATGCCACATCGTCAGTCAACAACAGCGATCGGGGCGGTCGTCTGACTACATACGGTGGCTCTCAACTCGGTGCTTACGATTCTCCAGAATCAATACGCGGTGCTCTCGCTGCAGGACTCCCAAAGCGCCAGGGTTCTTTGTCAAGTCACTCGGCTCTCGGCATGCACTCCTCGCCCCTTTCTGGCTCTGATCAGAGTCGCAGCTTGTCTAGCCCCGATGGTCTTACCTCCCAGTCCGAACAGCTCCAATTCTTCAAAGACTACTACTCTCAAGACGACATCCACCCCAATGATACTGTTGCCACCCTCTGGGCCTACCAGCCTCGCGCTGGCGACGAATTTGAGCTTGAAAGAGGTGACATGCTCAAGGTTGTTGGTATCTGGGATGATGGTTGGGCTACTGGCGTCAGGATATCCGAGACAGCTGAGCAATGGGAGGCACGAAAAGCCGAGCAACGCGACTCGGGCGTTAGCAGCGCAAGTGGAAGAATGCCAATGGAGGACAGCGAGATCAAGGCCTTCCCCTTGGTCTGCGTCTGCCTGCCGCAGCACTGGCGAAAGACTATTGAGGGCGATAGCGCAATCATTGGAGGGCACCGGAGTCGAGGTGACCGAGGGCCTCCAAGCCCTTAACGATGCCGTCTATATCTGGTCTGCTAATCTTTCCTAGCTTCGTCTACTCCGTGGCAGTCCCCGCCCTACGCGCTCCGCTGCAAGGGTGAGAGCCGTGTCGTATCCGCACCTCTACCTTCTGTGAAGCGGCCGCCACTCGCAGGGACGCCGGATGTTCACTCCCCAGGCTCTAGCACGCTCATTGACCTTGTCCACAAACCGTAATGCCGCCACGATAATGTCTGTTCACGCGCTGTTTCTGTTCCACAATTCAATACATGGTCCCGTGGTCATCGGCACTCCTCACCCCGCCCAGGGTCCTCCCTCTTTGTTGCTTGCTTTTGGTGTCTTCGAACCTTTAGGTCCATCAAGCTTCGCCACACCCTGCCACGGCCACATCCTCATTTTTTTTCTGCGTTTCTTTTCTCTGATGATTCTGGCCAAGAGATGGAAGGGACCGCCTGTGCGTTCTAGTGTCTAATTCGCTCTTTTACTACGCAAAGCATCCTCCCACGTGGCTGCACACCCTCTGAGCCGCTTCAACTGCCACTCCATCGCCATCGTCCGTCCTCGTAAACCACGCCACCTCAGCGCTTGCGGCCACCTC